TCAGGGAAGACACCATAAAATTACTAGGCATTAAAATCAGCAGTTTATTATCATTGCAGTGATGAAATCTCGCTGCTTCGGGTATAGCTTTTAAAGGACTTGCTAAAAAGACACTGGAACTCCTTGGCCTACTTTCTGTGCATGTTAATATTCTTGTTTACAGATACCATTGGGTATGGCTTAGAGCAGGCTATTTTTTGACAGACGGACTGAATTGTCTTAAGAAATTTAAATGACCCCTGGCAGAATTGTACTGGTATCTGTATAAAATACTAGAGTGGTTTAAGCACTTGTCCCTTTTATTTAATCAAATTGAAACCAGTATATAACATTTCTAACTCATCCAAGCATAGAAGAAGCCTCTTCTATTTCTAGTTATAAACTAGTATATTCAGTATAGCAGTACTGGTAGTGCCTATTTTAGTGAATAACATTAAGGCATACAATCCTGGTTAGTTAAACCCTCACGCTGATTTTAAAATGTTAGGCTTTTAATATGTATGTGATCAACAATAGCTAGTTTGTTTTCTTTACAGTGAGACCTACCAAAAGAGAGGAAATTAAATTTAGAAAGCACATTAAAATAATGTTAAAGTTGAGTCTTTAAACAATAAAAGTAATGGAGTAATGAGTTTAGGCTGCCACAGCAAACTTAACTCAAGCCATGTGTTATAGGTACTGTAGCACAGACAGGGATTTTTCAGTTTAGTATTCTATGGCTGCAGTGTCTGGGTCCAGTGGGATTATTTAAGATCATAGTACCACCCTTAATTTGTAATTTCTTTAATTTCCTTGTTTTTATTAGTTTGTACCATAATCTAATTATTTTAAATTAGACTGTAGCATTTAACGCTTTGGCTGTAGCTAATTGGTTGTTTCCATTGGTATTCTTGGATATTGTCAATTTTTGCCTCTCCCCACATATCCTGTCTCCTTCCCTCTTAGCCTCGCCCACCACAAAGTCTTTAACATAGCACGTGTATGCATGATGTTTGGGGGTTTACATAATAAGTTTGTTATGGTGGGGTAAATACAATGGACTAATTGTTCAGTAGAAATGAAGCCTATACACAGTGCTCCCTTTTGTAGACAAAAACTTTGTTGAGGGGGTGGTATTTTCAGTGATGTAGTAAATAATTAAAAATCAAGTGTAAGGTAACCAAAACACTACTTTATGAAACTGGTTTACAGTCACTTATCAGCTTTTTTGATGCTATAAAATCTTGGGTGCAACCACAAATTTAGAAAAAATACAGGAATTTTGTTTTTTTTAATATGGAAGTCATAGCAAGGAAGTGTGAAATTGAAAATTAATCCAGTGAAACCACTGGAAGAGGACCTCTAAATGCCATTTATTTTGATGTTCATAAGGTATGGAAAGTTGGTGAATAAAAACTGTGTTATAAAATACCTTTATACACACACAGTCATCAGTTACTTGGAATGTGAGACTGATCACACTGACCTCTCAAGTTTTTAAGCTGGGTGCATTGGAAGTAAGAGTTTCTACCTGAAATCTTTCCATTACCTGATTCAGTGCTTATAGTGCTATCAGGAGAGGAAGTTCCATTTTTCTTAGACATCTTATTCTTCCTTATATAATTGTTTGGCACTTCTACAATATATTCTATTTGACTGTCTAAAATTGCTTTATACATTTTAATGCAGGTAGTGTCCTAATAGCCCTGTAATGTAACAAAATAATATTATTTTCATTGGTCAGATAAAGATGCCATGGAACACGAGGGATTTAAGTGGCTTGACAAAGGATGTGCAGGAAGTCCTGACAGTAGTAGGTCTAGGTGACTACCTCAGATCTCCTGACTAGTGCTTTGCAAAGCTTTATTAGTGAACATGGCCATAGTTTGCAGCTGATCAGTAAGACCTACTAGATTTGAAATCTGTATCAATTTAGCTTAATTTTGGAGATTTTTTTTACTTGCCTAGGGAGTGTTTTTTTCCTCCCACATGTCAGAAATGGGCTTCCTGTTCCTTATAGTTGCAAGGTATATAGTTTCATAGTTTCTAGGGTCGGAAGGGACCTGAGCAGATCATCTAGTCTGACCCCCTGCCATGGCAGGAAGAGCACTGGGGTCAAATGACCCCAGTAAGGTGGTCATCCAACCTCCTCTTAAAAACCCCCAGGGTGGGAGCCTGCACCACCTCACTTGGAAGCTGGTTCCAGACTCTAGCCGCCCTGAC